TTCTCACAGTTCCAGGAACTCGTCTTAAGCTCAGAGGTGACAGGGCCTTCTCTGTAGCAGGACCAAGACTTTGGAATGAGTTACCTCCCATGGGTGTATGAATGTGATCTCAAAGCTCTGATTAGTCTCTTTAGAATGATTTGTTCAATTAGCTTTGTATAGATCTAGTATAGAGCTGTATGAATGGGTAAATGAGGCACAGATTGTTGTAAAGAGCTTTGAGTAATTGAAACAAGATAGAAAGGCAATATATAAGTACAGTCCATTTAAAAGGCTGGGTTTCGGTACTCTACAGTAAACCAAAATAAATCAGTATGGACTATGTGTTTTTAAAAATACAAGTACTATGTTGGGGCTCCTAAAACTTTGTTTCCGTGTAGACACAAAGCTAAAACAAAAAGAAATGTTTATGTATTACCACAAATTGTTCCTCTATTACTTTGTGTCCCAGACACTAAAAAGCACAGAAGCTGTTTTTATATTTTTTCTGTCTGTCTTGCTTCGTTTTAATGCCAATAAAATTTGATTGCGTGTTGAAATAGTTAATAATTGACAGAAAATAGACATTGGTAATAATTGGTAATAGTAGTAAATATAATGAGCTACAATTTCTTTTCCGATGTTTTTTTTAGCCAAGCTGTGTTTTTGGGTAATGTAATATGTTCGTATGGATGTTTTCGCCATCTAGTGGTGTGGCACGAGTAGTGCAGCATTTTTGTTATGTATGGGTAGACCTGTTTTAAAAGAGAAAAAAGATAAACTAGTAGAGAGAAGGCCTTGGTTTTGCGTTTCTTCAGTGCTTCCAAAGCGTGAAACTGTTTTAAAGATACATGATGATTATCCAAAAATAAATGCAGTAACATTTCTGTTTGTGTTTCCCTGGTGGTAATCAAAAACATCTCTGGGATGCCGACAGAAGCATGCGACCAGAAGCAGGTGGTACCCTCGTTTCTAATTTGGGAGTATGGTATGAAGGCAACCATACTCGTCAGCCAACTCATTAACTGAGGGACCCAGTTAGTTCCCCTTTATGTCCTTTGTCTGGTATTTTACTGTTGGTTTGACTCGCAAGTGTTCTGTGCAGTGACTTTTCCATAAATTAAAAAAAAGGTTTTAAATAACAAAGAGTCTGGATTCACTTACAGATGTAAAATTGAGAAAGAAGAGCACATAAGCTTGGTAAAAAGCACTGCTTTGCAGCCCAGGCAGGTAAAGTCTCTGTCCAACTGAATTTTAATGAGGTCAAATGCGTATGGTATGGAGACCGGAGCCAAGCAGCAGAGCTGTGGCGTGTAAAATCCCTACAACCGCTCCCTTCCCCTCGTCCCTCTTCTCTTGGCAGTGTTTTGGCCCGGAGGCGAAGCTGCCACATAACAGACGGGACTCCCACTACACAGCCTGCAGGGCGGAGCTGTCTCACTGGTAAACGCTGCCAGCAGCTCGCAGAGTCAAATAACTGTCGCAGAGGGGTGTACCGCCGCAGATCGCTGCCTTTTTCCCATTTTGGTGAACGTTAGCGATGACTTTGAGTCGAGGGGAAATAGCTTGAAGGCAGCAAGACCAGAAGGGTTCCTGATCACACTCAGTGGAGACGGTGAAATGTGAATTTGACGGATCTTCAATCCTATTTAGGTCAAATAGGGTCAATTTATGGGATTTTGTTGTAGTTGTTGCCTTTACATCAGGACTTATAGGTTCTTTTTGGCCATGTTTGCAACAACAATAAGTCTATTTATCAGTCACTGAAAATAAAAGGAGTCCACATTCTGACCAGAATGTTCTTTGACATTTAGCGGCACCTTGCAATAGTTCCCAACCCTGGTCCCTGAGGAACACCATCCTGCATATTTTAGTTGTTCCTCTGCTCCAGCACCCCTGATTTGAATGAACAGGTGATTAACAGGCTTCTGCCGAACTTAAGGAAGTAATTAAACCACTGAATCCTATGGGTTGGAGCAGAGAAACAACTAAAACATGCAGGATGGTGTTCCTCAAGGACCAGGGTTGGGAACCATTGTTTTATAGTTCTTTGGTTTTATGTTGATCTGAGAGTCAAAGTAAATTGTTATTAAGTTACTGTTTTATTACTTTTAACTAGCATTTTGCACCTGCTAACATTTAGGTAGCCTTTCCTCCTTTTTAGCTAGTCTTTTTTTTTACATTTTGCAACTTTTAATCTGTTTAATTTTAGCTAGTATTTTAGTATTTTTGGCAGGATTTAGTTATGAACATTTTACACTTTCAGCTGATAATTGCTATTTATATACTGTATGGTTGTTTGTCACGTTTGTCTCTATGTGGCCCAGTGATGGACTTGTGGCCTGTCCAGAATGTCTCCTGTCTCTTGCACAATGACTGCTGGACATGGGCACCAGTGACCCCTGTGACCCAAAAAGGAAGAGGTGGGTAAAAATACTGGATGGATGGATGTTTTAGCCTTTTGCTCATTTCCTCTACAAACCGGATTCCAAAAAAGTTGGGACACTAAACAAATTGTGAATAAAAACTGAATGCAATGATGTGGAGGTGCCAACATCTAATATTTTATTCAGAATAGAACACAAATCACAGATCAAAAGTTTAAACTGACAGAATGTTTCATTTTAAGGGAAAAATCTGTTGTTTCCAAATTTCATGGCGTCAACAAATCCCAAAAAAGTTGGGACAAGTCCATTTTTCCCACTGTGTGGCATCCCCCCTTCTTCTTCCAACACTCAACAGACGTCTGGGGACAGAGGAGACCAGTTTCTCCAGTTTAGAAATAGGAATGCTCTCCCATTCATGTCTAATACAGGCCTCTAACTGTTCAATCGTCTTGGGCCTTCTTTGTGGCACCTTCCTCTTTATGATGCACCAAATGTTCTCTATAGGTGAAAGATCTGGACTGCAGCCTGGCCATTTCAGTACCCGGATCCTTCTCTTACGTAGCCATGATGTTGTGATTGCTGCAGAATGTGGTCTGGCATTATGGTGTTGAAAAATGCAGGGTCTTCCCTGAAAGAGATGACGTCTAGATGGGAGCACATGTTGTTCTAGAACCTGAACATAGTTCTCTGCATTAATGGTGCCTTTCCAGACATGCAAGCTGCCCATGCCACAAGCGCTCATGCAACCCCATACCATCAGTGATGCAGGCTTCTGAACGGAGCGTTGATAACAACTTGGGCTATCCTTGTCCTCTCTGGTCCGGATGACATGGCGTCCCAGTGTTCCATAAAGAACTTCAAATCGTGACTCATCTGACCACAGAACAGTCTTCCATTTTGCCACACTCCATTTTAAATGACCCCTGGCCCAGTGCAAACGTCTGAGCTTGTGGAGCTTGCTTAGAAATGGCTTCCTCTTTGCACTGTAGAGTTTCAGCTGGCAACGGCGGATGGCACGGTGGATTGTGTTCACTGACAATGCTTTCTGGAAGTATTCCTGAGCCCATTCTGTTATTTCCTTGACAGTGGCATTCCTGTTTGAGGTGCAGTGACGTTTAAGGGCCCGGAGATCACGAGCATCCAGTAGAGTTTTACGGCCTTGACCCTTACGCACAGCGATTGTTCCAGATTCTCTGAATCTTTTGATGATGTTATGCACGGTTGATGATGATAACTTTAAAGTCTTTGCTATTTTACTCTGGGTAACACCATTCTGGTATTGCTGCACTATCTTTCTGGGCAACAATGGTGGAATTGGTGATCCTCTTACCATCTTGGCTTCTGAGAGACACTGACACTCTGAGAAGCTCTTTTTATACCCAATCATGTTGTCAATTGACCTAATTAGTGTTAATTGGTCTTCCAGCTGTTCGTTATATGCTCAATTTCCTTTTTCCAGCCACTTATTGCTACTTTTCCCAACTTTTTGGGGATTTGTTGACACTGTGAAATTTTGAATCAACATATTTTTCATTTAAAATGTTACATTTACTCAAATTAAACTTTTGATCTGTCATCTATGTTATATTACGAATAAAATATTGACATTTGCCATCTCCACATCATTGCATTCAGTTTTTATTCACAATTTGTTTAGTGTCCCAACTTTTTTGGAATCCGGTTTGTATTTAATTAACCTTTTGCTTCATTTAAACAACTGTTAGTTTTAAGATAGCCTTTTGCTCCCTTTAGCTTTTTAGCTAGCCTTTGCTACATTTAACTATTTTTTTTCTTTATTTCATTTTGAACAGTTAAAATTTCAACAAAACAAAAAGCATAAATAAAAACATAAATATTTCCATCGAAATATTCTGTAAACAAAACAAAAATGGTTGAACAGGGAGCAGGAAAAAGCAATGGTTTATCCAGTTCAGTAGCATTTTCTACTTTTAATGTCTTTACTTACTTTTAGTCAGCATTTAGCAAACATGTTACTTTTAGCTATTGTTTTGCTACATTTAAATGTTTTTGCTACATTAAGCTCTAAGTTCTGTTTTTTTTTTAATATTTTAGCTGGGTTTTTATTGTACCAAGTGTTCTGCTTCTTTTAGCTTGTTGCTAGTTTTTAGCTTATTTTAGCTTTTAGCTAGTGCTTTGCGTCTTTTATCTTTAAAAACAATTACGGCTTCAGCAGTGATACAGCAATCTGCAATGTTTTTATTTACTTTGTGTTTGAAAGTTGCTGTCATTTCCAGTAAAGAAAGATAAATTTCATAAATGCAAAGCAGCTAAAGTAAACTCCCTATAGCCTCAGCTACGTCATGTAGCAGCTGTTTTAAGGTGTTTTTCAGCTCTCTCTGCTTCTGTTACTTTTTAAAAACGCCTTTTTGAACTGTTTGCTTCAACAAAACAAGCTAAAAAAATAAAAACAGCTGAATTGTTGGTTTATTTTCTGCAGTTTGTGTTTAACACGACACTTGTGCTCCAAACGGGGGCGCCATCGCGTGGAAAGCCCCATGGGGCGGCGGGAGGAGAAAGGCGGGAGAGGAGAAGGCGGGAGGGAGGCTCGTGCCTCCACTGCCATTGGCTCCTGCCACAGTATAAATCCGGAAAAATGGCTTTTTTTACCGGCACAGAGCAGGAGGAGACAGCAGAGGACACAGACACAGGGGAAGCACTGGGCGGCTGCTCTCTTTTTATTTTAAACTTCTCGACGCTTCCTTCACGTGCAGGATTTGGACGGTTCGATCAATGAAGGACAGGCGGCCGTGTCAGGTGTCCTCCCTGAAAGCCAGCATGGACCAGAGTCAGAGTGTGAAGTGTAAGATAGTGGTGGTGGGGGACAGCCAGTGTGGCAAGACTGCACTGCTTCACGTGTTCGCCAAGGACTGTTTCCCAGAGGTGAGACCCCCCACGCTGATGGACATGGTCCTAAAGCTGCACTTATTCCAAAACTGCCCCATTTGTCCTCGTTAACGAACAGGAATGTGTCAGATGTTCATGCATGTCAATGCTGCACCGGGCTCAAATGAGACTTTTTAAAGATACGTATGATTTCTGTGTTTAAAGCTCTGTCCATGTTTGTCCCCTCTCAGAGCTATGTCCCCACGGTGTTTGAAAACTACACGGCCAGTTTCGAGATCGACACCCAGCGAATCGAGCTCAGCCTGTGGGACACCTCAGGTAAAACCCGTCAGCCGAGCTGTGGACATGTCCCAACACGTAGGAGGACTTGGAAGAATCGTGGTTTTTTTCATTCAACCTTTATTTGTATGGATTAGTCTCATTGAGTCACGAGGACTCGTTTTAGACGGATAACAAAAGGGTTTGCGATGCCTTCGAGTTCATTGGTTGGCGTTTCCACCTTTTTGATCGTCTCAGATCAGTACCTGTTATTAATAAGCACTGAGCTCATATAAATGGGCTCAGTGCTTATTAATTTCACAGGAATGTGTTAATATTTCTGAAGGAACTGCAATTGTGAAGTAGAACCTACAAATGAATCATAACTGATCAGACATCTGGGGAATACGTCTAACGTTCTACGTTCTTTTTAGTTCCCCAGAAAAGTTGCACCGCTTTAAAAAAAATCTTGTTTTGTTGGACTTTGTGTCCAAATAGGATCTTTAACACACCCATCCGTGCCTGACGGAGGTTTGATTGTGTGCATTTGGGGGGGTTGTGTGTTTGTGATGGGCGGGGACAACCCGGCAGCCAGCTGTTGCGGCTCTCCGGCCTGGAATTCCTGAGCGAAGTCTGTCTGAATAACTTTCTGCAATGTTCAGAGCAGCTTGAAACGTTTTTCTTGGGAAAAACCAAAAGACTTGAATTACAAAATTCCAAACTGGGTTTTTGGAGGTGGGGGATTTCACGGACAGCGTTTGATGGATGGATTGCCATTTCTTTGCTCCACGTGAAAAGGTGAAATATATTTTGGTTGTTTGTCCAGCTGCCCCAAACTATTTCTCTGCGCTTTATAAAACAAGGGTAACAAGGAGAGGGGGTATGTTTCCTATTAGATCAGTAGGTTTCAGATGGAGCCAGATATGTCCACCCTACCCCCCACCTTCATCCTAAAGCCCTCACACACACCAGTGACGGATTGATGCAGCTTTCAGCTTGACTGGTCCCTTTGTAGAGACCCCCATCGGCCCCTATCCAATCCAATCGATCCTCTTATCTCCTGAGGTGTGCTGGGGAGGACGAGGGTGGTGGGTGGATGGGGGAGTTTCCCTTGCGGCCCAGACACTCTCTGACAAAGACCACCATGCAGACATGAAGATGAACACAAAAACACACCTACGCATGCGGAGGTGGCTTTTGTTCTGCGTTGACGAGTGGCTTAATGTGCGGCCCGGTGCATGAGTGTTTAAAAAGGGAGGGTGTAATTTGGGTCATTAAGGTAAATGCCTGCCAGTTGTGCAGCTTTCCCATTTGTCCCACCCAGCCTGGCTCTACGGGCGAGGTCTGCAGGGGTTGCTGAGGCCCCCGGCGCGGCCCCTTTGAAGAATCTCGTTTCTTTCAGCAGTAGAGGAAGTGTGTTTTTTGTTGTCTGAACGAGCAGCTGAGGTGTTCGTCGGAGACTCGGAGCAGCACGAGAACACCATGAACCGAGTGGCCCCTGAGGCCTGTTCTCACTTTGAGTTAAAAAGAAAAGCTCAGATAACAAGACAGAACGTTCAGGCAGAAACTGTCACGCAGGCTGCAATTAGCCTTCATTACCGATAGTTTTACAAACGGCTACCTCACCTGAGAAGGTGGAACCATCAGAGCATTATCATTGGATACAGGTTAGCATCAAATTGTCTTGGTGCTAAAGTCTGATATAAAATACCTAAAAACTTTAACTTGAAGTTGTCTGTCAAATATCCAGTAATTGACTACTCAGGTTTTGCTGTGCATTTATTGTGCCTTCTTGAGTGCTATGGTAGCTCCAGACTTTAATCGAAACTTCTTTGCTAGCTTTACCTCTTGGCCCCCAAAAGACGTGTCATATTTTTAAGGGGAGTTTTGTAGAAATGTTAATACTAGTTAAATATTATACTTGTTGTAGAAAGCGATCTGAACTTACGTTAATAGTTTAATTTTGAAGTTCAGTGAACAGGGAGAGTCTTGTAGTATGGCCGCTGCTCCTCCTCATCGAGGACCCAGCTGAGGTGGTTCAGGTGTTTGATTAGAATGCCACCTGGATGTCTCCCTAGAGGAATTTTTCCATGAATGTCCAACTGGGAGGAGACCCTGGACACAATGAAGAGACAACGTCTCTCAGGTGCATGGATGGATGAAGTTCTGACCGGAGTGACGAGCTTAGTCGAAGCAGGACTGGGAGCAGAGGGAAATAATTCTGATCTAAAACGATGTCTATTTTTAAAGTTTATAGCAGATAATGCATACAAAACAACCGCATAATCCAAAATTTGTAGTCTTGTAAAAATGTGAAAAATAGCCTTCTTGTTGCCCTTGGGGCAAATTAACCCACAGTCTTAACACTAAGTCTACCAAAACTTCCCAGTTTAACTTTTCGTGGAAAGTTTCTAGAAATTTACCAGAAAAACTTCAGCCGCTTTGGATTGCTATGCAAAATACCCTCAACTAGACATTACAGTGGTAGTTGAGAATGTAAGATATGTTTTAAAACATAAATAAAACACTTTTTGGGGTATTTTTTGTGCACTTCAAGAGTTCTGCGATAACACCAAAACAGTGTCTCTAGTTTACTTGCCTTGGCAGGCGCTCAAATCTTCTGTTTTTTTCTCGATGGGGGTGGAGACAGAGACACGTCGGTGTTGTTACGTTGTTTGGACCAACAGTTTTCGAGCCGGTGTGGGGGTGGAGACCATGGGGAGACGGCTCAGCATGAGGGAAACGTGCCGCCAGCTCTGTAGCTTTTTAGCTAGCGTGACTTTAATTGTGCACAGACATATAATGCGTATGGTATTACGCGGCGCTAGCTTAGCACTACGGCAGTGCAGTTCGATAGGCAGGACGTTTGGTTCTGTTGACGGGGCGGGGTGCCCCGCTTGTATAATGGTAGGAGAAACACTGGTATACATCAAACTAAATCATTTGGTTCTTATGACCGTGCAACAATTGTAGCTATGAAAATAATCATATTAACAATCCCATAAATTCCCATTGAAAGTATTTAATTGGGAACATTTCCAAAATTTCTGAGCTTAATTTTCCACTGGACGTTTTTGAAAAGTAGAAAAACAACAAAGTTTCCGGTAAAATTTTACCGGAAAGGACCAGCCGGCTCCACCTCTCCCTCTATCACATGTGTCAAACTCAAGGCCCAGGGGCCAAATAGGGCCCTTGGTAACGTCTTATCTGGCCCCCAAGATGATGTTTTAAAAGTAAAATACTTCTCATGACAGTTGGCCAAGTTTTGACGTAGAGTATTTCCGTAACCTTTGATTTTTGCTGCTGTGAAAGCGACCGAGCTTCAGCAGAGACCTATATGTCTCTTGTTGAGGAACCTGCAGCCAAGAAAAGACGTGAGGTATCTGACTGGAGATCATGTATCGACTGAAGATAGCCCTCGGTCTGAGAAGTTGTTCTTTTAGCTTTGTCTTATAGCCGAGTTTGACACCCCTGTTTGATCAAAAGATGTGGGGCTCTCCTGCCCCGGGTGTCAATGCACGAAATGGGGACGTCTGATGTTTCCCTCTTACATTGGCTTTGAAAACTACCTCTTGTTAAAACTTGTCACCAGCGAGTCATAACCCATACGAGTTATAGCTGCAGGCTGTGAAACCGAAACTACAAGCAACAAAAGGCTTCTTACAACTGAAAACTTGGATTATAATCTCCGTGGGTTCTTCACAAATGGTCATTTTTGCATCGGAACTAGGTATTTGATCGTTTATATCTAAATGTTGCGAAAGCAGCTTTTCTTTTTTTGATGACTTGTCAATGAACAAATTGTTTCAGCTCAAATCTCTGCTCATGAAGGTTTAATCTGAAGAGCTTCTGCGTTTTGCCCCACAGTTGAACTATGCATAATGTGCTTACGTTGGAGCGAACTACACGAAACAGCTTAGTGTTTTTCGTACTCTGGAAATCTGCCCGAGGTGTTTGTTCCAATTATTCAAGTAGATCTTTTACCAAAATGGATGTTGCATTTTAAAAAGTTATCAACAGGAACACCAAAAACCTGAGGCACGGCTTGTTTGCTTTTCCTCGAGGGATTTGTTAAAAATATGTGTTGTACATCTCATATTACAATATTTAGTGGGAATCTTTTCAGAAACTTTTTTTTTAACTGCTGCTGTTGGTGCATGTGAAATTCTGACCTTCTTGGAGAAATCTACTTACAAAATAAACTTTTTTCTATCCAAATTCAAATGATGGTTTTCTTGTAGAGTGTATGGGCATCTGCTGCCAGCCGTGGAACGCTGGACAGCTTAGTCACGGTACTTTTTTAAAGCTCTTTGGAACTCGAACCCTCTGCCTCCTTCATTCCTCTCGGCATCCATTGTTGCCGCGGCTCACATTTCTTGGCTCAGCGAATTTGAGCCGCATGTCTGACATTCCTCAAACTAAGGGGTCCTGCTTCCTTCTTGACAAAGACTCCTATTGTACCCGGCGTACTCTGATCCCCAACCAGTGAACGAGAAGTGTTGTGGATCACCACCTTGTTTTCAAGGTGGGGTGGGCAATTGAATCACGGTGGAATTTGCCAACCGGTAGTGGAATGGTGATATCCACGGAAGAACAGGGAAGAGAACCGGGAGAGATTAGAAAACATCCTGTCTGGGAAGCTGTGGAAAGATCCTCTGTGTGATGTTACACCTGATGGCAAGATCTGGTGTCTGGTCCTCACCCGGGCTTTCAGCCTACAGATATTCTACCACAACCTTGATTTAAAAACAAAAAAACTTTCCTTCTTGCTTCCTTATTTGTCCACTGTCACGGAGCGAAGAGGAGAATTTGGAAATACCCTCCATTCATCTTGTGAGCTTGATAATTTGAAAAAACATGAGGTGCTGACTTCCATTTTAGTGTGTGGCTGCATCTATGCATAAGAATTATCACTATTAAAAATATGCTTGCCACATCAAAATCCAAGATGGTTGCCACTATCTCTCTCTCTATCTATCTATCTATGTATCTCTCTCTCTCTCTCTCTCTCTCTCTCTCTCTCTCTCTCTCTCTCTCTCTCTGTGTTTCTCTCTCTATAT